TAGTGTAAAAGGTGTAATGAGTAGTGGGTAAATGAAAAAGTAGGAAAGAGAAAGGGGTAATGGTAATAAAAGTGGGGGTATAAAGGTATATTTAAAGTAAAAACTTTCCTTAAATGGAAAGGAGGACAAATAAAAAAAACGTCCCAAAAAGGAAAGAATGACTTTTATTAAAGAACGGAGGGAGTATGTTTTTGTGTACTATTTATACTTAAAAATGTTATTTTAAAATTCAATTTGAAATCATTTCAAATATTATATAAGCAAAGATAAAATCTAACTTTTTGTGTGATGTATGCTATGTTTACATGGTAATATTGGTCTAACACATAGAAATAGTAAGGTTAGAATTAGTTTTGATTGAAATTATTATAGATGATTATTGTAATTTTCTTCAAATTTTTTCTTTATTTTATTCATAAAATATAGATAGTACGTGGTATTTTAAATGTATTTTTTTATAATTTAGCAAATTTAATTAGCATTTCATCATAGATTCAATCAACTCAACTAGTGTTACCAAATATGCTCATATTTATTTTGTTCCAATTTAGTTAGTGTTTATTTATAATGGCTTTGTAGGTTCATAAGAACGTTGTCATGTGCGTGAGGAAAACAAAGATTCAACCAAACATTTTAGCCCAACTGGTTGTGAGGTTACCGTGTCTAGTGGAAGGTCTCGAGTTTGAAACTCGCTAAGGACATAAGGGTTCGAAACTCAATAGAATAAGTTTCAACCCATATTACTCCAGGCCCCCTCCCCCAGACCTCCTGGAGTAAAAAAAAAACAAAAACAAAGATTCTTATTATGTCCACCTATTATTGAAATTGTTCTCAGAGCAATTTGATAGCTCAGTATATCTTACAAAATCTTCACAAAAGTGTACTCTTTTGTAGCAAGGAAGAAAAAGGAAGATTTTTTGAAAAGGAAGAAACATGGAAAATTTTGTGAGACATGTCGAGCTATTTGATTCCTCTTAGAAAAAAGGTTTGATCATGAACGCAACAATGGTTTTACATAATTGTATGCCATAATGTGAAGATGTGATGGATGAATGAATGGGTGGATGAAATAATAAAAAAATTAGGGGAAAATTACAAAATAAGAGTGAAAATATTGTAAAATTTTAAAACAGAAGCATTATGTAGTGTGCTTTTTCCTTAAATTAGAGTAATTTATTGTGACTCTAGAATTTTACTATCATATTTTGACAATTTCAAACTTTAAGTATAGGCGCATAGCAATATACTACTCCCTTCGTAACAAAAAAATTTTCCCACTTTCCTTTTTCGTCCGTAACAAAAAAAAACTTCTCATTTCTAAATCTTCCTATCATACCCTCAATAATTCTTAGAATAATACACTTGATGGAGTATATGGCCCGGGAACCCCCGGCCCACAGACTCCTACTTCTCCTACAAAGGCCCATTGAGCCCATGGAGCATCCGAGGCCCAAATACAGCGGCCTAAGCCTCAAAGAAGCCCAGAATACTCACTGGGGTGCCTTCGGCCCCTTGGCCGAAGGCTCCAAAATACACAGGGCAGCCAGATTCGAGCATACAAAGCTACTGGGAGAAGATGGCGTAAAACAGTAGCCCTCAGCTATCAGGAGCCTTCGGCACAAACATGGTGCCTTCGGCTACACAGAGCCTTCGTCAGGAAAGCCTACGGCACTCCCATGCTTTCGGCTATACAAAGCTCTCGGCCGAAGGGGGAGCCTTCGGCCAACAACTCAATCATCGAAGATTCTCTTTGGAGACAAGCAACCACCGCATTTAATGCGACGTCACATCCACCCACCGCATTCAATGCGGAGCACATGCGACTGCCAGTGCCACCCGATTGAGGTGACCCCTCGGCCGTCGGATTATCGCCACGTGTACTCTCATCGCATTTATTGCTACTATAAATACCACCCCATTTCCCCATTGTAAAGGATCCCCAGATCAGAACATCTTGAGTTCATAAATAAAATCGTCTCTCTCTCCTACTTGTTTGCTCCGACTTCTCTCTAGGTTATTCCCGTAATAACCCCTCGGATAAGATACCCCCCGGGTAGACTGTCCACCAACACTATTACAACTACTTTTTTGATTTATTCTACATTTCATCACATTATTCCACTATCTTCTCATCATACCCTCAATAATTCATATCCTACTTTTGAAATGGGAAGAATTTTATGTTACGGAGGTAGTACCATGTTTGTTAGTACTTTCTAAGTATGACGACGGTAGTTACTCATATTTACAATAAAAACACATTATTCATAATTTGGAATTTCAAAACCTTTTTACTAATATTTAGATAATTTCTTTAAAATCTAGTACAACAATGTTTATGTCTATCAACACCCATAGAGCTTTCATGCAAGTAAATTCACACAGTTAGTAGATTATTATTGTTATTGTGAGTCCAAAAATCACATAGATTTTTCATCTCACAATTATAACTATAAAATTTGTCGTGAAAAGTAGCTCTACATGCGAGTTTGTGTATTTCAACCTATTACGGTGGTTAGTTTTGTTATATTCAGACCATGATATTTTGGTGGTTTCATCGCCGCTAGGCGCTCGCGGTTACATATTTGATGGACCTTCAGGAGTTCATGTGCAAGTTGTGTGTTAGCCTCGACTCCCTCGAGGTTAAAACTGAAGAAGTATTTGGCATATATTGATGGAAAGGAGAAAGTACTTATATAGTACTATGTAGTATTATAATACTTCCTTTGTCGCATTTTTCTTTCTAATTTTCCTTTTAAATAGGTCTCATCCTTTCATTTTAAGAAATGAATTTGTGTCATTAACATTTTTCTCTTTTTCCACATCAACCGTAAATCATATATTTTCACTCTAATAACAAATGTGCCAAGTTAAAATGGGAAGAAAAATTAGGATGGAGGTAGTTTAACATTTTAGTTATTTACTTATTTCATTAAACTAAAAAAATGTCTTACTGTTGTTGGCTTTTTATTTTTCTTTTTATTATAAAATTCAAAATTATATTCAAAGTACTTTTTGTTTTGTCATGTGAGTTGGCTCGTAAAAGTAATAGATAATATATATACATGGGTTGGGTTAGAGCTACAAGAATATAAAGAACATGTTTGGTAAATGATAAGAATAAAATTTATAATTATGCTGAAACTTTTAAAATTGGGTTAGAGCTACAAAACTTTTTTTAAATTTTGCACAAAAACATTAACTTATTATTGTGTGAGTTGTTCTCCTCAGTCCAAAGAAAATACAACCCACCATGGGCTAGACCGAGTAGGGTTGGGTTGGCCAGTTGAATAACTTCATTGTCTTCGGTCTTCACCCATAATGTAAATATGGATCCTTGATGTAAATATGGATCGGTATACCCCTACTTATACCAATACTCAGCTTGGTCACTAGCAGAATATCAATACTCTCAGATTTGCTAGAAACTAATTATATGATCTAAAATGCTATTTGCATAACCATTGTTATTAAACAACTTATTAAACCAATTTCATGTTTGTGAGAATTAAAAAACAAAGTACACTTTCACCAACTATCTTAGTCTTGCAACTATAAGAGTGGCGAGGAATCCTACATGCATAACTCTTGTATGTAAAGACATTGATAGTATATGATCTTGACAATCCTTCCCTACATGTAGAACCCCTTTTGCATGATTCTTGGTAGTTGGTTTAGCGAGTTTTAATTTCATTCACTCACCACATATCATTGTAGTTTAGTTTATGTTTATATTAGTTGCATACTTGCATGTCATTCCAGCAATTCGAAGCCCATATCTCTTGCTTTCCATTATGATTTATGAACTTCTACAATCATTTTTAGTGTACACATTTTGCCCTAAAAGTGTGTACACTAACCTTCTACAATCATTTTTAGTGTACACATTTTGAATTATCTGTCATTTTAGTGTACACATTTTGTACACACATTTCATGTGTCTACACATGAAATGTGTAGACATTTTTGTCTACACAGTCTACACAGACAACTAAAGGATGTGTACATACATTTTGTACACACATTTCATGTGTCAATACAATTTTCACACTTCTATGTAGGGATGGACTCGGGCCGGGCGGCCCGACCCGGCCCGGTCACTGTTTGAACCGGCCCGGCCCATGGGCAGTTCGGGTCGACCCGGCCCGGTGGATACCGGTTCCGGGCCCGGGCCTTCATTTTGGTGAACCGGCCCGGCCGGTTCGGGCCGGATTTATTTATTTATTTATTTTTGAATTTTTTTTTTAAGTTTTTGGGTTGGATTGGTTATTTTGTGCCATTTGAGGTGGTTTGGGGTGGTTTGGGGTTGAGGGGGAGGGTAGGGGGTTGATTAGGAAAACCCAAAAAAAAATTATACAGAACCAGAACCGGGCCCGGCCCGAACCGGAGGGGGGTTACCCGGGCCTGTTCCGGGCCCGACCCGAACCGGACCCGGGGTTACCCGGGCCGGTTCCGGGCCTCCCATACCTTGAACCGAGGCCCAGTCGGTTCAAGGCCCGAACCGGGCCCGGCCAGGAACCGGTCCACCACTACTTCTATGGCTTTTCAAACTATCATTTGATTGATTCGACCTATTACTAAAACATAGGCAGAAGTCCATTAATTACACTGTCATCTCAACAGAACCACTGCATTAGCATTGCCCCATTAGGGCCAGCTCTAAGAGACAAGAGGAGCAAGCACCTTAGGCCCGCTTATCCAATACTCTCTGTCTCTCTGCATTGATTTAAAATCATTTTTCGTTTATCTATTAAAATATCAGTGCCTTTTAAGCTCATACATATAATTTGTCTGTGGTCCTTTCTGTATCATAATTTTCATTATTCTCAATAAAATTGAATGAGTCTTTGGTACATAAATCAAGAACGCTACAAAAATCTAATCTAAGACAAAAGTAGTCAATATGATTTACTCTGAAAAATCGCTCTCTTAATTACTACAGCTCCCTACGTATAACGTATAGAGAAGACTGTTGAACTGCATAAAGGCATAAAGTCGTCCTGAAATCTGCCTGGTCGGGCTAAATAACTAAAATGTATTTGACCATATTAACTTGAACAACAGATTAGGCTAAGTATGATATTATCCATCCCCTAGTAAGTAGATTTAAGTAAGTTCTGTTTATCAAGGATAAGAAAATCTGCAACACATAAATTAGATTTACACTGATTAAGCAAAAAAGAAAATAAGCATTACACATTGGCACGTGGCTGCCACAAGAAAATAATGTAATTGACATCAAAGGGTGACAAAGATATGGAAAATCAGAGGCAACTCCTCTTTAATAAAAAGATGCATTCCAAAGCTAAATATTCTATGTGGTCTTAACAGGTTGTGGATGTTGTGGTGTGGGCAAGCAGATATGGTTTTTGTTTTATCACAGCATATATGCGGCTTGCCAAGAGACTGGGTGGGTATTATTCAGGTCTGAGCTGCTCTGTAGAGAATTGAAGTTTGCATGGTTAGCAAGTTGTGCGTATATATGAAATAATCAGTAGGGCCAAGTTTCCACAATCACAAGGGACCTTTTTTCTCGAGACAGAGAACCAGTAACAACACCCTTGATTGATCTACCGTCGGATGTTTTGCCATTCGATGTGTAATAGATGGTCCAAACAAGTTTCTGTGCACCTACAGGAAGTAAAAGAGTGTAATATATTGTCATTTTATCAGATACTATCCAGATAACATGGGTGTCATTTGTTAGCTTTTTTGTTAAGTACTTTGTTCTTTGAAAATCAGAGCAATAAAAATTGTTTGTTTGTTTTGTTCTTGTTTTCAGATTCAGGAAGCAAAACCATTTTTATTAATTGTTGGTAAAAACATATAATGATGTTTTCATTGTTTACAGAAACATGCTTTTGATTTGATGCTACTATTAACTCGAACATGGGAACTTTTTTTAAATGATGAACATTAGAACTTCTTAAATCATACTCCCCTTGGTCCCATTTTTAGATATATTACCTTTTTAATGTGAACTACACTATCTCATCAATTTCCGACTTCCTCATGTTATTTGTCATAATACTTTTTACTTTTTGTGAATCCATGGTAGTGGTTCATCCTTAATATAAAAAAAACAAATAAAACTTCGACAGGTATTATTCAGTGGCATAGTTCCATTTACCTCACTGTAAGAAATATATGAAAAAGAAGCAGTAGTCCCAACTCCCAAGTAGTAAAAACCATGTGATTTTCCAAAATACTACTAGTACTACGTATATTTTTTCCTGAATAGGAGTAATTATTGTCAAAAAATACTATCAACTATTTCATTAATATTGTCATATAAATGCTTGATAATGAAACATTATGACAATCTGACTTCACTATGGCACTAAATTACTTCTGTTTAGGGCAAAATAAAACATGGTACTCATTTTTTAGAGAAAGCACATTGTTTTCACTCCTATTTTAAGAAATTTCCCAAAAAGAAAAGGATGTGCTGGTCACTTCCACTTTCACTAAAAATATGATTGCTTGGTATTATGCTCTAACAAACTACAATATCATGATGCTTTTTTCTTCCTTTTAGAAAGTTAATAATTGTCAAATAACAATAATGGGCAGTAATATTCTTAATGGTATTATTCTTAAACTCGTGTCAAACTGAGATGTATCTTATATTTTGGAACTGGGGCAGTAATAAAGACCACATATGCAACTAACATGTTCTTTTAAAATTTGAGAGCAAAACAAAAGGATACCACAACAATGGGTTTCTGACATTTTGTCTTTATACTCTTTAACATCTGAAATGATAATTTAGATTAATTGCTTTTTTAAGTTGAAAGTTAGGTGGAGTTTGAATGCTTGGTTTCATACTTTCATACCTTCAGCTAGCTAACAGAGGTTTAAAAGGGAGATTCAAGTGACTCATCCCACACATCAGCACTTCCATTGGAGGCATCTTCAGCATCTTCCTCCATCGAGAGCCGAATATATTCTCTGCGTGCAAACCGGTCCCACTCTGTCAAATGTGGATTCTCCCTCTCCTGTTAAAACACAAAAAAAGTTGACTCGCAATTTTAACCTTGAAATATTAAATTCCAGGCACTCAATCACTTCAATAAATGGCATAAAACTTCAGTCAGTGCTAGTATGGTAATACCTGCCGAATCAGGAAAGGATCCCGAGTTTCGAAAGCCATGAATTTGTTGAGATTAAATAGAATGTTGAACACACTGCCGGAAAGTTTACTTCCCTTCAAGTCATGTAATGTTATACAACTCTCGTTCTGCAAACAAGGAATATGGGGTGTCACAAATTTGTAATGGCATTGCCAATTAGACATGAGTTAGATAGTTGCATCACCAAGTGGCAAACCAAAGCATCTTTTAGAAATTAGAGTTAAAGAGCTTACTTCATTCTGATTGATTATATTTTATAGCTGTTAAGAAAACTGATTTAATTTTAGGAGAAGTTTAATTGTCTTGCCACACAGATGTTCCATGATAGGGCCCTGGGCTATAGAAAATAATAATAGTAATAGATTGATATTAAATAGGAAAAATGGAAACTAATAATCCAACCTTTTAGCGGTCTTCTTTCAATAATCCCACCTTTTGATTATTCATGAATAATCCAACCTTTGCACCTCATCTTCATTCACTGGTCCCTGACCGGTTGATGACCTGCTATTCCAAGCTATTTTCTTATCTTTGCAAATCATTATACCATAAATCTCATCTTTCACAAAGATAATATTTTGGAAAGATAAGAAAATAACTTGGAATAGTAGGTCATTAACCGACCAGGGACCAATGAATGAAGATGATAGAGTATTGACATACCAGAGGCGCAAGAAAAGAGGAATCATTGTTGACTGAGTCTTCCATTATTTAATATTTATTAGTAATTTGTTTAATTACGTCAGTTACAGAAATAAGTGGGTTTTGGTGCCATGCATCAGTCCACTAGGGCAGTTATTAGATCATGGATGGAGTCAGTTATTATGTCGGTTAGTTATTAGATCATGGATGAGTCGGTTATGAGTCAGTTGTATTTTATTCTTTATAAATAGCCTAGCCTTATTCAGGCTGCAGGCATGCATGAATCAATATTATTCTCAGACCCGGAGATTCTCCCTTGGCTTCTACTATCACTCATATGTGAGATACTTGCTGTGAGAAGAGAGTAGGAGAGTTTAATCTTCCATATCTTTCCTTTTAATTTCTGATCTTAACAATTTGGTATCAGAGCCAGGTTGACGCTATTCTTTTGCAGTTTGAGCATCCCATTGCTTTTTATAGCAAAGGGTTTTCATTTTCTAACAGATATAAATCTGCTTATGATCGTGAGTTGTTAGCTTTGGTCTTGGCAGTGCAACACTGGCGCCATTATTTATTGGGACGTCATTTCACAGTTCGTACGGACCACAACAGTCTCAAGAATCTTATGGATCAGCAAATGCTAACAAACAGCCAGCAACGTCTCATTCTCAAACTTCTCCCATTCGACTTCAACATTGTTTATAAGGCGGGAAGGGAGAATGTTGGAGCAGATTCTTTATCTCGAAGACCACAACATGCCGACTTCCTTAATATGGTGGTTCCATTGCCTATGGATTTCTTGGATTTGGAAGAGGCATTGTTACGGGATCCGTTTACTGCCCCAATTATCACTGCCTTACTGCAGGATGCTCAATCCCAACCTGGGTACTCCTTGGTCCAGCAACGTTTATACTACAATGGAAGGCTAGTGATACCCAGAAACTCTCAAATTCGTGCTAAATTGATTGAAGAGGCACATGTCACACCGATAGGAGGGCATGGGGGGTTCCTCAAAACATTGAAGAGGCTTTCAGGTACCACTTTTTGGCCCAACATGAAAACTGATGTGAAGTCTTTCATTCAGCAGTGTTTCATTTGCCAGAAGAATAAATATGAAACTCTATCTCCTGCTGGACTGTTACAACCCCTCCCAATCCCGCAGCGTATTTGGGAAGATATTTCCCTTGATTTTATCGTTGGCTTGCCTAAATCTGGGAATTTTGATACTATACTAGTGGTTGTGGACCGCTTAAGCAAGTATTGCCATTTCATTCCTATGTGTCACCCATACACAGCCAAATCAGTTGTTGCCCGTTTTTGTGAAGAAATTGTTCGTTTGCATGGCGTTCCCCGGTCCATCGTTTCTGATCGTGATCCTCTTTTCCTGAGTAGTTTTTGGCACGAATTGTTTAAATTGAGCCAGACGAGACTCCGAATGAGCACTGCCTACCACCCTCAGACGGATGGTCAAACTGAGGTGGTAAACCGTTGTCTTGAAGCGTATTTGCGTTGTTTTGCACATGAACAACCTCGTACTTGGAGTAAATACCTTTGTTGGGCAGAATACTCGTTCAACACTAGCTTCCACTCCTCAGCTAATCTCACTCCTTTCAAGGCTGTGTATGGTAGAGACCCTCCTCCTCTTCATCCGTTTGTACCAGGGGAAACTCAGATAGCTGAACTTGCTTCCCAGTTGGAAACCAGAGATGACATACTCAGGTTGCTTCAAACTAACCTACAAAAAGCTCAAGACAGGATGAAAGCATATGCAGACCAACATCGCCGTGAGCTTACATTTAATGTAGGAGATTCTGTTTTTCTGCGCATTCAACCTTTCCGCCAGCGCTCTCTCACTCAGACAAAGTATGCAAAGCTCTCTCCATGTTTCTTTGGCCCCTATAAAGTCATTCGGCGAATTGGGCAAGTGGCTTATGAGCTGGAACTTCCACCTTCATCTCGAATCCATCCTGTTTTTCATGTCTCACTACTTCGTCCTGCTCATGGACAGATTCCTACTATACCACCTGCGGAACTACCTATTTCTGATGATTTTGAGTTAGTACTTCAGCCGGAAAGTGTGTTGACTCATCGCTGGAGGGGCCATCAGTTAGAGTTATTGATCAAATGGCACACTCGTCCCACAGAAGAGGCTACTTGGGAAGACTATGAGTTTTTAGTGCAGCAATTTCCAGAATTTCGCCTTGAGGACAAGTCGGCTTTCAAAGGAGGGGGTAATGATAGAGTATTGACATACCAGAGGCGCAAGAAAAGAGGAATCATTGTTGACTGAGTCTTCCATTATTTAATATTTATTAGTAATTTGTTTAATTACGTCAGTTACAGAAATAAGTGGGTTTTGGTGCCATGCATCAGTCCACTAGGGCAGTTATTAGATCATGGATGGAGTCAGTTATTATGTCGGTTAGTTATTAGATCATGGATGAGTCGGTTATGAGTCAGTTGTATTTTATTCTTTATAAATAGCCTAGCCTTATTCAGGCTGCAGGCATGCATGAATCAATATTATTCTCAGACCCGGAGATTCTCCCTTGGCTTCTACTATCACTCATATGTGAGATACTTGCTGTGAGAAGAGAGTAGGAGAGTTTAATCTTCCATATCTTTCCTTTTAATTTCTGATCTTAACAGAAGATGAGGTGCAAAGGTCGGATTATTCATGAATAATCAAAAGGTGGGATTATCGAAAGAAGACCGCTAAAAGGTTGGATTATTAGTTTCCATTTTCCCTATTAAATAAGTGTGGTATTGTATAAATAAGAATTCTGGGCCATGTCATATAATATGGGCTGGCCCGTTAGAATGTAAGTACTATAAGAGTGGGAAGGAAGGGAGGAAGGAGGTAGGCAGAAATTGGGTTAGGCTTTGGCTTGGGAGAGAGAGACACTCGAATTTGTCTCGTTATCAATTTGTACTGTTCATCTTCTATTTCTTCTGTGTTCTACCGTATTTCTGGATACTTATTGAATTCAGAGCATTAATCTACAAATATTTCTTCTAATCTACTCTGAAATCGCTGGTTCCTCTGGTTTGCGCGCGAACACCGAGCAGCGTGTGTCTATGCAAGGTGGAAAGGAACTGCACAGGGAACATGGAAGATCTGATGCTTCACGCGGAAAAGGGGAGAAGCTAGCGGAAAAGGTCGAGCGCGGAAAAGAGGAGAAGCTGTCGGAAAAGGTTGAAAGTGATTGGGCTAAGGAGATGCGCCATATGTTGGGAAAAATTCGTCACAGACTCAAGCGACATAGAGACCGAGCGAGGAGTCCTCCTAGACACCGTCGGAATTCTGGAAACCAGAACTCATCGTCGTCGCAAACTGTCAGTTCGCAGACTTCATCGCAAACAGCTTCGCCTACATCGCAGACGTCGTCGCAAACAGTTATTCCTTGTTCGCACTCGCTAACAGACTCTCCCAGTGCGCACCCTCAGACCGTTTATCCCAGTTCACAGTCGCAGCGAGCAGAGTTTACCAGTTGGCAAGCTTCATCATTCTCAGCTTTACCAGTGTCACCTCAAACAGAATCTACCTTGTCCACAGGATTCATGGCAAGTCAATTCTCACCCTGCGAAAACCATAGACCACGTGGAATCGGGAAGTGAACTGCTGGAGACTCCATTACCGACAATAAACATTGAGTTTACGCCAGCTAAACCATCAATCACTGAACTGGATCTGAATGATTGTATTACTCAACCTACGGATTATCCGGAAGGAAATCTTACAGATAACACTGGTACTACCTTGGTACTGATCAACAATGTCACCGGGGCTAAAATAAAGGGCTGGAGGTTTGCTAGTACACTAGGACAAAAACCAGTAGATTTTGCATTTGTGATTGATAGAGATCAAGAGGATGGATGGGTTGTTGTAAGAAATATTGAGCACAAACTGTCATCAGACAATACTTTGGATGAGAGGAACCAGTTTAAGGGTATAGATAGTTGCTATGTGTACTCTGGATCCCTAGGTTCTCATCTGATGTGGGACTCTCATTTAGTTAACTATGCACATTGGGAAGTACTGAGAGTTCTTCTATCCAAGCAGAGTGAGCCACGGGAAGCTCTTCAGCTACCGGCAAGAGTAGCCACTCACTTTGGGATTCCAGCAACTGCATTTACCTTAGTTTTTGACCCTGTTCAGCAGAGTTTAGCTATCGGGACAACAGATGGTAGGCTAAAAGTCATTGCAGACGAGCACAATGTCTACTGTATAGCTGTGAGGTGGACTCCAGTTGCTGCCGAGTCTGATGGAAGAGAGAATCATTGGAGTTGTTGTTGTTATGTACCAATGCTGAATATCTCACTAGATGGAATAGCAGCCGTAAACTGTGTCCAGATGTATTCTAGGGATGGTAGGGAGCCACAATTTGCTGGTTCTCCGACGACAAACTGGAAAAGGTTTGGATTGTGTATTCCTAATGTTTCATGGACACGGTCAGCAGGAGAGAAAGTCACAGTTCATTCTGAATTATCAAATGCGTTTACTGGACTTCTAAAGTTCTGGAGTTCTAACCATCCCCCTATTGAGTATGGAGTAGGAGAGATGCAGTCCATGAGCTGCCAGTTAATACATGTACCCATCTTAGTGAAAGAAGAGCAATCCCAGCAACGGGAAAAGAGTGCTGCCAAGGCCATGCAAGACCTCTGTGATGTGTTAATGAAAGAAGGAAGTGCAACAATTCTTCATTTCATGGTTTGCCTGGTACGTTACGTACGTGAGATTCAACTATGGCAGACTGTTGCATCGTATTAGGAATTCGCTGGTTCCTAATCGCTGGTTCATCTAAGAAAATCGCTGGTTCCTAACATTCCATAGATGAAAAAAAAATATGGCATACATCTCTCCTCCTCACTAAAAGCGAGTATTAGGAATTCTCTAATTAGAAAAAGATAAAGCTTTTCTATTTTTATTCATTTTGGCTACTGGAAGATTTTAGTAGTAATTGCATGCTTACAAAAACTTTTTATGGTAAAAACATGAATTTTCTCATTAACGCTTGTATACACAAGGCACCATATCTACACTGACATATGTATACACACATACATATAATTACATTTATAAGCACTACCCACTCTTCTTCAAAGAAAAGGAATATAATACCTGTGGATGAATCATGTCAATTATTTGGCACAAAATATCCTCAAAGAGTACCGGTTCTTGGGCCATGCATTCCATTCGGTGCAGCTGTTCCTCATAAAAGAATTGCATTTCATTCTTTGTCAGAATCCCATTTCCGTCCAAATCTATGCATTTGAACCTGTTCGGAAAGTAAACATGTTCATACCCAAACTTGTTCATGATAAAAAACCAGTAAAATGCTCTACATGTGTCAAGTGCAATATTGTAAATTCATAATGCTAAAAGCAAGTAAAAGAAAATATATATAGAGGAAAGTTCAACGCAAGCTGCAAAGAATATGAACACCCAAGAATGTCATGTGCACACCTTGACTGAATCATCTTTCACACAACAAGGAAGCACTCAAGAAAGTAGACCAGCTAACACAATTTAAGTTCCAAATGGTAATATTTGCAGGCATGTATGCTTTTAATTCAACTTATTTCCGAACTTCAAATATGCCCCTTGTCATCTAGTTTGGTATCAAGATCCTATTTCACAATATTCATATCCGCTACTCGCAAGTCGCAACTCTCAAGGATACAATAATTAGTCTACTGCCACAATTTGCCATTTGTTAAGTGCTTTGCTGTAGGAAATCCGAATAGAGAAGAAAAGTTTCAATGAAGCTACATGACACTTCCATAATCAAGAACACCCACCAGTACTCGAGACTAGGCTCAGATGACTTATGCTCCTCTGACAAAATGAAGTAAACAAAATCTTCATAAGCCATCTTTCCTGCAATCTTACTGCTGAACTTTCTGGGAACCTGATGAAGTATCACAACAATTACTTTTAAGAACTTCACATCCTCGGAGGGGGGGGGGCTACAACTAAAAGCAATACATTAGAAATACAAACCTGAGAAAATATTCTCTCGACAATCCGATATGTAAGTGCATGGTTACCATATCTGATAAGGTTTTCTTTATCAATGAGAAAATCATGATCTGTATCCAGCTCCCAAAACTTGCAATATATCACATAGAAGTGTTCATAGGAGAAGTACCTGCAATAAGGATGCAAAATGAAGAAAATGAAACCCAGTTAACTACGTGCAGCCAAAACTTGCAAATTCTTACAATTTTACAAGTCAATGAAGATCCAGTTACTGGCATTATTTAAAAAATAAATAAATAACAGATCCAGTTACTTCTTATTGCGTAAAAGATTCTCACAACTCCTATTTTACTAAAATAGACTAGACCACTAAACTAGGAAACAGCAATTTTGATTTACATAAGAAACTCTTCAATTTTGATCCAGACTACTAACATGGCGCAACTCCCCCACCGCCAGGACGCCTAGTCAATGCCTAGGCCACACTGTGAAAAGAATGCTACTATGCTAGTAATGTGACCAAAAACTCCATAAAACTGCAGTAATATTTACCTATACACCTTGTTAATATCTTCTTCTTCATCTGCATGCTGCAATGCAGAAATTAGGTCTGAATGTTTTAGCTCCCTGAGGGTGAGCCGGCCATTACCAGATCTGTTTACGTAGTAAAAGATTCTGTATGTAACAGTTTCAGCTGGCAAAAATAAAAGTAACCGTAAGGACACAGCAAAATGAATACTTGATTATGCAAAAAAAAAAAAAAAATGCAAAGGAATCCCTAAAAGAATTGCTAACTCACTAACAGACTTTGGCAAGATACCTTAGTTACACAAAAGAAACATTATTTGAGACATATTGTACACAGGCTAAACAAAGATATCACTGAACAATTAATTAATACCATAATATTATATGTTCACCACAAAATGTATAGAGCACCTCCATCTGAAATATTCCTCGGGGGGTCAGCTCTTTGTCATCTGCGGGGTACTATTTTCTTTTTGTTTACTCAATCCTTGTTGATTTCGCATCTCAGGGGGGGGAGATGTATCATTCCCAAATAAGGGATGCAGGTTTAGTTAAAAATATACTACGTAAGAATATTAGTGCAACGGATTCAGTTTTGGGCACATACTAAGAGATTCTTTGAATAGTATGAATCTACTTATTTACTGTAACAGAACTAATTAGACTGTAAGGTATTAACTATTAAGTACTTTAGGAAACATCTCAAGTTTACATGTAAACTGCATCAACAATCACAACGTCAAAAAGGGAAAATAAACGAGAAAGGAGGTATACCATATCTTTCTTGAAACTCAGGAGTACCCTGTAGGAACTCCAGCCCTGGATGAGTTGCCAAAATTTCTTTAAGCACGGGTTTTAAGTCCATCTGAAGTCAATTTATCAGATAAAACAGATTACAATTGATCATCCGAACAATCTAATTCTTGTGAACTAGATGTTTTTTTAGGAACGATGAACTGGAAATTATAAAAGGAACCTTTGTCAGATATTTGAGATCTGGCTGCTTCAAGATTGAGAATATTTGAGTTGTTATATCTTTTGTCAACATATTTCCATTGATCCAATAATCAATGAAGGCATCCCTGAAAGCCAAGCAAAAGAATAATGTTTCAACTTACAAACATTATTATATATAATGACCAGAAAAACTACTCCACTTTGTAGCAAAAGAATATCGAAAAAAAGTCATTCTAAAGCAAAAAGGAAATATGTGAAGCATTAGGGAAACAAGCACATAGAAAATGATGTAGTGTGATGCAGAACAATGATCTACAGCATACATACAACATACTTCAGTGGAAGATCAACAATAACCAGCTACCTTTAATGGAAGATCCAGTCTATAAAACTCACAAATGTGACATGAAAACATAAAAGCACCCCCCTGCCTAATAAGGGGTTTCAAGGTCACTATAGTATTTGTAAGAGCATAAGCACATGAGAGTAGAAAAAAATGCTCATGACTTCTCAATTTACATAAAATAAGACGCCAAAGAGTTTACCTGGTCAAAATCCCAGTGCCGTTAACGTCAATCTTCATAAAAAGAGCAGTAGAGAAGAATGATGGTATCTTGCATATTTCCTTAGTTATCAACTTGAATTCTAACAACCAACGAAAAACAAATTAAAAATGGATAAATACTACGGAGTACTACGTATTAGCACCATGTGTTGCATGAAAATGAAACCCCTTCAAATAACATATGATCCCGAAGGTAAATCACAATTTAGAAGATATTGGTGGTTCATAGTAAAGACTTTAGATATATATATATATACATATAGCCACATACATATATACATATAGGCTTGAGTTTATTAAATATGGAATGAGGACTAGTGAGGGTAATATTGGTAGAAAGGGACACTTGTGACTACTCTTGTGTTCAAGGTAGTCAAAGTCGTGAGGCGCACTCAAGGCGATAGGGTAATTCCAGCGCCTGAGGCGCAAGGCGCAAAAAAGCGCTCGCCTTACTCATGTCAGGCGCATTGCTCAGAAAATATCGCAAATACTATTCTCCAATAATCAAGAATGATGTATATAACACCATATTGAACCAACTACATTAAAAAGTCATGTCTTGATCAAATAAAGTCACCATTAACCAAAATAAAGCCACGATTAACCAAAATAAAGTATATATACAGCAACCCATGTCACAAAAAATGGACTGGTAGTATGTATACATGGTAAAAAAAATGGTAGTTTGATAGTATGGACTGTTAGTATGTATACATGGTAAAAAAAGGGTAGTTTGGCAGTATGTTCTAAATAGTATGTATACTGGTAGTATGTACTTCTCCAAGAAGTAGCTGGTAGTTTACTTGTACATGGTAAAAAAATACAAGTATACAACTAGTTTACATATATATGTTTAAGTTGTTTACTTGTTTAGACTGTAGAATTGACTAACTGAGACATATAAACAAGAGTTCTATAGTGTACAAGAAGAAGTAGCTGTTAGTTTACATGTACATGGTGAAAAGATATACTGGTAGTTTACATATATATGTTTAAGTTGTTTAGACTGTAGAATTGACTAACTGAGACATATAAACAAGAATTCTACAGAGTACAAGAAGAAGTAGCTGTTAGTTTACATATACATGGTGAAAAAATATACTGGTAGTTTACATATATATGTTTAAGTTGTTTAGAATGTAGAACAAGAGTTCTATAGAGACATAGAGTACAGGAAGAAGAAGCTGGTACTTTACACTTTACATATACATGCTGAAAAAATACTGGTAGTTTGTAAGAAGAAGTAGCTGCTGAAAAATGAAAAAAGAAATAAAATGGAATGAATGGAAGATGAAGAAAGAGAGAGTTTACTTTGAACGTTGAGTGCTGCACTGCTGCAAGCTTTGCGGTTGATGTGGAGGGACAGGACGAGGTAGCGAACATGTAACAGTAGGTTTATGTATTTATGTTGTGTGTTTAGCGTAAGTTACATTGTTTTGACCTTATTTGCATGGGCTTTATTAAAAATATGGGCTTCTTAATATGTGAAACAACCTAATTAAACTTAAAATAAACGATTCCCCTGTCAGGCGCATTCAGCGATCGCTTTATATCGCATCTGCGCTTCTGCGCTTTGTGCGCCTAACCTGCGCCTGAGAAGGGAAGCTGCGACTGGCCATCCATAGGGCGCTGGACCTCTCTAGCGCTGCGCCTGGTGCGCTTAAGCGCTCAGGCGCACGACTTTGACAACCTTGCTTGTGTTCTTTTATTATTGATGTTCGTTTGTGCATTTTTATCACAAATGACTTCTATTGAGGACAGGAGGAAGTAATAAAGATATGTGTGCATGTATATCATATAAATTCACTTTAAGGACATAAGTGTGACATCCAGACCATAACCAGAATTGATTAATTCAAAAGGAAACATATTAAACTATCGATATAGCACTAATTGTTCACCAATAAATTGAAGCCGACGTGAAAACATAAGTGAAAATAAAAGAATTTTACTGTGCATTGTTGTTCCATCCATATGGCATTATGACTATAGAAAAACTGATTGACTCTAAACACACACCGTTCTTTCAATTCATTTGGAGGTGGAAAAACCAGGGAGTAATAAAGATATGACAATGCATGTATCTCATACAAATTCAATTTAAGCACATAACATGACAACCAGACCTTAACAAGAACTTGTTAATTTAAAAGGCATCTGATTCAACTATCAACATAACACTAATAGTTCACCAATAAATTGAAGCTAGCGTGAGGACATAAAGGGCAGCCTAGTGCACACTGGCTCCCCCACAAGACGAGAATCCAGGGAAAGGTCCCACCACAAGGGTGTATAAGTAGCACGCCTTCCCTTTTCATTTTGACAAGGCCGCTCCCAAGACTTTAACCCGTGACCTCTTGGTCACACAGCCACACCGTCACCAGTGCACCAAGGCTGACATGAAGACATAAGTGCAAAAAAAAAGAGAATCTTACCGTGCATTGTTACTCCATCCATATGACCATAGAAAAACTGATTGACTCTAAACAAACACCGTTCTTTCAGTTCATTTGGAGGTGGACAACCATTTTGAAAGTAGAACTGCCACCACAAGATAATGTTGTGCATTAAACAAAATAAAAATAGTTCAGAAGAATTGATGAATCAAAAGACAACTAGTGACCTGCGGTATTGTCTCTTTGACTGGTTCCTTCATTAATTTCAGAGGAGAACCGAACTGAGAAGGCCCTGCCCTCTGCCTCACAGTTCTGGGTGAGCCTGAAGAGCTTCTTGGTGATAGTGGAGGTGCACTGCCAGCAGGAAACATAGAGGGCAAAGAGTTGCTAGTGGGACTACTACTGCTTGAAGAATTTGATGTGACTTTTAAAGGACTACCACCCTTGGCATTACTGACCAACGTTTTTACCTGCGTAGGAAGAATTGAAAAAGAGACAGATTTCAATACATTGTAACAAGACACGTTAAAACGTGCCACTTTAAGAAAGGAAAGCTGCAGGCCAAGAGACTATTATGCCCACTTATAATGAAATGCACACAAGCACGCTCAATTGATATAAGACCAAGCATCAAGAGAATCAAGTCAAATCTAATCCAGTTCTTAACGGGGCATGAAATTGAACAAAGTACCAGTGCAGCGGTATTAGGAAGCGATAGCCATTGATCAAACAGCATCTCAACGACGTATGAATTCGTTTTGATGGCCAACGGAGAAAACTCCGGAAGCTGTAATAGTTCGGTGTCGAGACTGGCAACATCGCCAGTAAAATCCACATCCATGACCTCAACAAATCGGAATTAATACAAACCAAATCCTCAGATCATCGAATTCTTCATCTATAATTCATGTAACCTAAACACCGCCTGGAGGCTGGAGCCTGCCTCTTTCACGCCGTAACAATAATAACTTTAATTAAAAACGAATGCGCAGCTCCGTCCGAAGTCTTCCCCCAGATCTTTTGCAAATCTTGAGATGGGTGGGTCGGCAGATATAGGTAACTCCTCTTAAGATTTCGATAAATAGTTGAAATTTCAGCCTTTGGAGATCAGAGATGGGAACATTTACAGATAAAATATAGAAGAACCATTTGCATTTGTGTAAGAAGGAAGAAGAATAACTTGTGCGCTGGGAAAAAGTGACATGTAGGCTAAGGCTAGTGGTATCGAGACTTTCTGGCTCACAAACATGTGAATCTTTTTTTCTTTTTTTTATCATAGCACGGACATTCATTCATGAAAGCATTCACAAAGGGTTAAATAACAAAAGTATCACATGTAATCATCTGTCCGTGGACGAGACTCTGAATTAATCACCCTTGACAAAGCAATATAGCTCGTTAATCCTAAATTGGGCATATTCAAAACCACGACGATTACTGCAGGCCTCTCATCCCTCAATCCAAGTGAAATAGTCTTACAGCATAAAATAAATAAGCAACAAAACACAATCGAAATAAAACAAAAACAAAACACAATCGACTCAGCAGAAATAGAAATACTCGTCCAAACCCTAGCCGCAGAATTCCTCCAAGGCGGCGGTTCTGGATGTGGGCGGATCAACATCCCTTCATCTTCTGTCACACAAGGCCACCAATGAACCCCTGAAATTTGATTTTCCAGTCCCACAACACGATATCGACCACCAGAAATTCCATGCTTTCACCAATAGCCATTTGTTTCGTCAAAGCTCGTTCCCAGACTGCCGAAGAGTAACAGCACGGTTTCGTCTTCAACATTCTGCAGCACCCCATTTTCCCCTTGCTAAACCCGTCCCCTGCCAAAACCAGCTTCCTCGCTTGTTTGCTGCTCTTGTAAAGCAGAAAAACCAAAAGCTTCGTCCAGACAAAATCCAGATTCACCGCACTTGCAAGTCAGAAAGAAAACAAAAACGAACAAAACAAACCTCGCGATGACAACAAAACTCAATACCCTAAGAAGATATATGACATAAGTTACCTATCGGGGAGAGATCGGTTGAACCCACGGCCTAGATAGGCCGCCGACGGAAAAAACCCTAGGACGTGCCTAGGAGACGACCGTATTGTTTCATTCTTTATTTGGTTTAGATATGGTTTTAATCCGTATAAATATGACACACTTTATTTTAGGTTCATGTAAAATATTTTCTTTGTTTAAATCCCTGTAATATGCGTTATTTTGATTTTAGTCGATATCTAATTCTGAAACAACTCCACTTAGAATTTTTGTTACTGTTGGTTGCATAAATCTATTAGAAACATTTAAATTTATCATTTTATATTTTTTTAGGCCAATATGAGAGTTAAAATAATATAATATTCTAGAATACTAATTATTCACATTTTTAAAATATGTAGTAAAAATCTTCTAAAATGAAATTAAATAGTTTTTGAATGTCATGATAGAGGATTAAAGGATACCTATTAGTTAGGATTGTTTTGTTGTCAAACGGATGTTGTTTTCATTATTGAAGGACTAAAAAGAAAATTAAAATAAATTTTAGAGATGAAAAATAAAGAAAATATTTTGAAGGAACCTAAAACAAAGTGTATTACATTTGGGACTAGAACATATTTAAATCTGCTTCCCAAAAAAACATATTTAAACATTCTTTTTTTTAATTGCAAAAGTGTGACTTCCACGTTTGATAACACGTAATTTTGATTGTAATTATATTTAATGTGTATTAGTAAGTATTATACATAGTAAAAATTATTTCTCTAGTTCCGCTAAGATCGTCTCATTTTACCTTTTCATTAGATCGCATTAAGATTATCTCATACCAAAATTGGTAAAGTTTGGGTGGCTCTAAATCATTCTTACTTTATTCTTACTTTATCAATTCAATATCAATCACATAAACTCACTTTTTTAATAACTGTGTCATCTTTTTTGTCTCAATGTTAGTGAGACGGATGTAGTGATATTTTGGAAATTTACATTAATAGAAATTTAACATGAGTGGTGTTTTATACAAAGTACATAATAATTTGATTTCATGTATTAGTACAAAATCAAAATCAAAGTGAGGTGTGTGAATAGTGCAAAATTACAATGTTGCGTTATTATTCAATAATGAGTAAGGACAAAGTCTAGCTGAATCATTAATCAGTACGTAGTGTGTTGGATTGTTAATGTTTGGGTACATATGTAGTGTTTCCGAGGAAGAAGTTAGATATTCTCGGAGATGTATGTTGTCCGGTGAATCTCACTCTTGTTCATCTCCGTGGCTGGGTTTTAGTTTTATCTTTCTTTCTTTTTGCAATTCTTTCTAACTTATATAATAATTGTTCTACATTAAGGTTAATATCCTTGAACTGGGATGAGATTCCAACCATGTAACCTCCTCTTTAGGAGAGTCGCAGTGATGTCATCAAACCACAATGTACTTGACAGTTTTATCTTTAAAAAGAACTTTGATTTCTATGAGATGATTTGGAGATGGAATTTCATATTCACATGCTTGACGCTACACTCTTTCATTCGCTCTGCAGTTTTTTTTTTTAAAATTCTTGATTTTACTTGTCCTTATACCCATGTTTTCAAATTTCCACTTTTGTGTTAATATTTTTCAAATATCAAAATAAGACCTATCACTCTATGGTGGAAGTTTAATTCTTTTATGTAAGTCTTAATTTGAGGATTTATAAAATGTTGTAGTCTTATGTGAACAATTTAAATTTTGATGTCATCCTATAGCCTTATTTTATCTTATTTCCTTTAAGTAATTCTTAAATCATTTAATTTACATTGATACTAGATTTTAAGCTAAATATAAAGTATTAGTCAAGAGTATCAAAAACTATCGATGGAATTATTAAAAACTTAAAAAATCAAAACCTTTAAAATTTAAGATTCTAGATTTGTAGAATTCAACCATTCTTATTCTATACATTTCATCTTTTGAATCAAGAATTGATAATTACTCTACCTTTCAGGTTCTTGATTGATTAAATTATGAAAATGTTGTGTATATTATTTTGTACATTTTATTTGTGTCACATTTTTTGTTATGTACTACACGTTTGTTTAGATTAGGATGGAGATCACACTAGTTAATTCCTTCCTTCTTTGTCTCCTAGAATTTCTCACAAAAGGAGAAATATACGTACTAATCTAGCCGCAGGAAGCATGTATATATTCGGGCATGCCTTGTACAATAGAAAACAGAATAATGGAAAATATTTTGCTCTCTTCGATCCAAGTTTAATATGTTATCAGAGCACTGATTCGGGACCTACGAATCGCGCTCATACGACGACAAAATGGACGGAGAAACAGGTCACACCGGAGGAGACGGCCATCGAGAACATTTGGAACGACGGAAAATCAATGACCCTTCATCACCGTATTATTTGTCTAGCTCGGATCATCCCGGGATGATGATCTGTGCGGTTGTTCTCAAGGGAGAGAGCAACTATCGGGAATGGTCTACGACTCTACGGCCATGAAAAATGCTTTCCGTGCTAAGCGGAAGATGGGGTTTTTGGACGGCACCATCGAACGACCCATAAATATTCCGAGAGACCTTGAAGACTGGCTAACCGTCAACTCCATGGCGGTGGGATGGATTATGACCGCTATTGATCCAACGTTGAGGACCAATCCCGCATATATGGAGAGCGTGCGGGATCTTTGGACCGATTTGGAGGCTCGATTTTCAGTTGGAGACGCCATGAGGGTTCATGAGTTGAAGGAGCTTTTACGAGATTGCAAACAACGCGGTCAATCCGTGACTAGCTATTTCGGTCAATTGCAAACACTCTGGGAGGAATATGACGGGATCCGGAATATTCCTCAGTGCAAGTGTAATGGTTGCACATGTGATCTCAAGAAGCTCTTCCTTAAACACGTGGAGTCGGAGAAAACTCACGACTTTTTAATGGGGTTGGATCACGGAACCTACGGCACCCTGCGTTCCAACATATTAAGCGCGGATGAACTGCCTCCTCTCACCAAGGTGTATCACATGGTGGTGCAAGAGGAACGCCATCAAAATATGACGAAGGGACGCAGTGACACACCGGAGACAGTAGCGTTTGCCACTCGAGTCACACCTACTGCCGGAGGACGGGATGAGCGAAACAAATGTAGCTACTGCCATAAACAGGGCCATGATGTGGAAAATTGTTTCTGGCGAACTAGAAATTATCATGAATGGTGGCATGATAACCCTGGACGAGGTAGAGGAGCACGAGGGCGAGGAAACGCTGGACGTGGTGGCTCTGGACGAACTGGACGAGGGAATGGACGCGGCAGCGCTCAGGCCATGCACGTAGGACAGTACCGAGACGAGGGGGCAGATGCATTTGACACCAAAGGAGGCACGTTGCACATACAAGCCGGAGTTCACCGATGAGCAGTGGAATACACTCATAAAGTTACTGGAAAACAGTAAGGTTAACTCTTCGGAAGAGAAGCTCACAGGTATGAAAATAAATTACGAGTGGCTACTAGACTCCGGAGCATCGTATCATATGACTGGGAATGGTCAAATTTTAAAAGAAAAGAACAAAATTGCTCCGGTGGCGGTGACATTGCCGAACGGAGAAATGACCCAGGAGACGCATATGGGAACCGCGATGCTTAGTGCTCAATTAATTTTATATAATGTGTTACTTGTGCCGGGTTTAAAGTGCAACTTGATCTCCCTGGGAAAATTAATTGATGACCGAAAATGTGATATATTTTTTACTAATGATCTGTGTGTGATACAGGACCTACCTACGAGGATGCCGATTGGAGTGGGTGATCGACGAGGGGGAGTTTATTATTTCCGGGGTCTGGACCAAGCTCAAGCTAATGTAATAGGAAGTGCAGACTCAGGAGATCTGTGGCACTCGAGGTTGGGACACCCGTCCATGAAAGTTTTACGTTCTCTTAGCCATTTGAATAAAAGCTTATTAAATACCGTTGACAATAAATATTGTGATGCCTGTTTGCGTGGCAAACAAACCCGTACTAGTTTTGATATTAGTAATGCTCGTGCTATTGAACCTTTTGAACTAATTCATTGTGACATTTGGGGTCCGTACCGCACTTTGTCTACATGTGGTGCTCGTTATTTTTTGACTGTGGTAGATGATTATTCTAGAGCCATTTGGATACATCTCATGCGTGATAAAAGTGAAGTACGGAATATTCTTAAACAATTTATTGCTATGAGTACTCGTCAATTTATTAAAAGTGTGAAG